GAAACTACCTAGAAAAAATTTAGAGGTAGAATTTTAGAGAGAGAAACTATTTCAAAATTTTTGGAGAAAAAAACTATTGCAAAATTTATATTCTAGAGAGAAAAAGTATATTAAAATTTTCGAGAGATAAACTATATCAAATTTTAAATCAAGAAAGTACGTGAAATTTTTAGAGAGAGAAACTATTTCAAAAAAAAATTAGATTGAGAAACCATCTCAAAATTTAAGTTTTAGAGAAAGAAAGTATTTCAAATTTTAAACTTTAGAACGAGAAAGTATATCAAAGTTTAGAGAGACATTATATCAAATTTTGAAGAGAGAAACTATTTCAAAATTTTAGAGAGATAAATTATCTCAAACTTGAAGTTTTAGAGAGAGAAAGCATCCTAAAATTTAAGAGAGTAACTATATCAAATTCTAGAGAGAGAAAGTACACAAAAAATTTTAGAAAAAGAAACTATCACTAAATTTATAGAGAGAAATTATCTCAAATTTTAGCTTTTAGAAAGATAAAGTATCTTAAAATTTGAGAGAAAAACTATATCATATTTTAGAGAGAGAAACTACTTAAAAATATTTAGAGAGAAAAACTATATCAAAATTATTGAAGAGGGGAACTGTCTCAAGTTCTAAGTTTTAGAAAGAGAGTATCTTAAAATTTTAAAAAGAGAAACTATATTAAATTTTAGAGAGAGTAAAGCATCTAAAAATTTTAGAGAGAAAAATTATCGCAAAATTTTTAGATAGACAATTTTGAATTTTAAATTTTGTATAAAATATATTAAATTTTAGATTAACAAAACATATCAAATTTTAGAGAGAGAAACTATCTCAACTTTTTTTATAGATATACATTATCCCAAATTTTGAGTTTTAGAGAGAGAAAGTATACAAAAATTTTAGAGAGTGAAATTGTATCAAATTTTGTTACCAAACAATGGACATAGAAGTGATTGCAAAGAATCCATAAATTTTATATAGTTTATCCAAACAAAAGATTTGAGAAATCCATGACAAAAATCTTTAATATTAAAAATCCATAGATTTCCTTGGATTTCAAATATCTAAGATTCCTAATTTCTTCCTATCCAAACGTGCCCTAAAAGTCCGGCCCAAATTTACAGGTGACAATGGACCGAGCCAATAACAAATAATGAAACAGCAAATAATAATAATAATAATGAGGGTCAAGCCAACCTGATCGGGCTGGCACCGTGCCCTTGAGCCATGGCCCAGGCCCTATTTTTTTGGGCGAGGCCTGTCCAGGACTGCCAGCCCAGCCGGCCCATTGGGCATGTGACACCTCCGACCTATCAACCAATTCTAAAAAGATCAATTTGCATGCGCTCTATAAAAGTTGTCCGGAGATGAACCATGGCAATCTGGTTTTGAAAAATCAAAACTGAATATTTGAGAACTCAAAATCCAGTTCATTCTTTGTTCGCTCTAAAGTAAACCGGGTCCAAAACTTTTAGATGGAGGAAGTGTTCTAGGAGGATGGAAGTGCGCATGAATATAAAGGAAGTCCCTTCCAGGGGCACAAGGAAACAGTTTTTGTAGGGTACGTCTCCCTAAAGAAACAGATTTTACATGCACTCCCATAACGCTCTTAAAATATACGCGATCTTTTATCAACAAACTCAATATTAAAAGTTAAGGATTAGGTTATGGAAGCAGTTTTTATCAAGCTCTATAAAAACAAAATAAAGCCTCACCTCTAATTCTCAAAGAACTTTGGCCAATGAAATTCTCCATGATGGCCACTTATGGCGAAATAGATAATGTTTTACAATATACACCATCTTTAAAGCTTGAACACCTAATCTTTTTTCACAACCATAATAATCACGGCCGAGATGATCGATTCGAAGGTTTACCAATGTAAAAACTACAATTTTTAATGAGTTTTAAGAAAAGGCCCTATTGATACAATAAGCAATCTTTAAAATAGGAAAGTTCTTACTCATATTTTTATTAGTAGAACATTTAAAATAAAATACTTGTATATTCAAATCAAAATCTACCAATAAAATTTATTTTCTTAAATTTTTAATATATATTTTCAAATATATTATCATAAGTTTATCATGGTGATAAAGTTGGATTAAAGTTGAATTGGATAGAAAACTGGCTCAACAGATTGACTTGTAAACGGCCTAAAAAAAATATCTCGTAAGTTCAGAGTACACATAACACTGCTTTAAAACCCCAAACTTTACCAAACGTATTCTGAAATCAAATACTTGGATGTTTCTATACTCTGCATGAGAGTCAGGCTCTTAGCTGGTGGTCAAGTATAAGGAACTGCAGCAAAACAGCCTAGGGAGAGGGAGACCCATACAAAGTGAAAAGAAAAATACAAATATTTTCTTTAGAGCCCCAGAGAGAAAAAAAGAGGATTAAAATATAGGTGCAGACAGCAATTTCCCCAACTACTTCTCACTTTCTTAATCAAACCCAAGCCTCCCTCCATCCTCTTCCCACTTTAACCTACTCCCTTCAGAGACCATCCCCCTCATCTCTTCCTCTCCCTTCAAGACAATGTTCTCATCATCAAGAATGCTTCCTCTCCCACTTCCCTTCTCGCCTGCCCCCATCTCTCTCTCTCCTCTCCACCATCTGTCTTGGCTTCCCACCTCGACCCCCATGCCTGACCCCAGTTGAGAACCCAGGCCCAAACACGTCAGAGCCCAGGCCAACCTCTGGATCCCCAACGCTTCCTGCATCACCAGAATCTCGGCTCCCTTCACCTGATTCTTCATGGTCCCTATGGTGTAGGATCGCAGGAATTGAGCCAGAATATGACCGTGATCCGGCCAGGACTACCGTTTGTTGGTTCAAAGGAGGAGGCACGGTTGAAGAAGGGGTTGGTGCTGTAGACGGCTCAGAGCCACCGCCCTCTAGGCCCCGAGTGCTTGCTTTAACATTGTCTCTCTCTCTGTATCTTTCTCGTGGCCGGCTGCTTGAAGAACCAGTTTTGTTAAGGAAGTATTGGGCCTCTCCATTAGAGTAACCAAAATGAAAGAAGAGATTAAGGAAAATTAAATAACGTGGTTTGCTAGCATACTAGACATGGTATACAAATGGTGTACTACATGTAATCTCACTGTCCATACTTGGAATGGACTGTTGAGATGAACTGTTCTTCTGCTTGAGAATACAATAGAAGACTTGAGTGGAGGAATGGTTCATCTGAATCATTCATTATTGAGCATGGACGGCTGTGATCACATGAAGCAATTTGTATAATAATAAAGACATGCATGTGCTCATGCGAGTGTAGCATGCCTATTATCCAAAGAAATGCAATGTAGGATATCTGAGTGAAATCAAACACTAATAATAGAATAGAAATTTCTAATCTAAAGTTTAACAGATTAAAAAAAAAAACAGTTGTAATCTAATGTGTATTTATGAAAGCAGAACAAAAGGTGGAAAAAGGAACACAATGCTTCTACTAATGGGTGAAAATAAACTTTCCGAAGGAAAGTCATACTAGGCCGGCTTTAAAACCAGGGAAAGCGCACCATACACCAGTAGACAATGGCAAATGGTACATCAGTGAGCATCCAGTGTCCATTCCTGATAACAAATGACCGTCATCAATGCCGCACTTTCCAGTGAAGGACATCCACCCAAGTATAGTTGATCTCAGACTTCCAAGGTCAAGGACATACGTTGAAGTCCCATAATTTACAATCTACTGTAATAAATACAGCAGACTTACGAAAAAGTAACAGATGAATCCAATGGGTTCAGAGAAGAAGAAAGAATCCTGATTCTTTTCATGTGCCTCACTCTCATGATTCGAGGCATACTTATTCCACAAAAACACCTTAGTTAAGTTTACAAAACCAAAGATGGTTCTGCAATTCCTTCAAATAGAGTCATGATACGAAATATCTTTTAGAACCGGAGATTTTCATAATTTTCCCTACATGGAAGTAGCAACATCCATCAATCTTGAATTTTCCGCTCTCAAAAGTAAATGAACTCTACAGTCATAAGCAAACATTTGGACAAAATATCAAAAATCGAGTAAGGGCCGATGGGACTTGTGCAACATGCAGATTTTTTTGTTTATGCTAGGTGCTTTTGTAATAAATCTTAATATAATTCATCTATCAGACAGGAATAATCCACACATACGCACCTACTGGGTGTGGACGAAGAATACTCCCGGCGAGATGGTCGGACTCCAGATTCTCTTTGCTCAAGCTCCCGTTGAATCTCTCTCTATTAAAAAACATTTCAGATATAAAAGTACATAGAACCGAACAACTAAATCAACATGGTAACCAAAGGTTCTCTGCACAACTATCTGATGTATGAGTTTTTTTTTTTAAAAAAAAATTATTTTACTATTTTTTAGATTTTAGGTTTGCAGTTACTTCGTTTTTCTATTTTTCTTTAGGATTATTTGTCTTTTTTTGCTGTAGAGATTTGAGGGGTAGAATTGAAAGTTCATTTTTTAAAGATGAAGGGTTATGACTTGATTAGGGATTCTTAGGGAACAAGTTAGATTTCTAGGTTTCTTGTCTTGTATAAATATGCAACACTTAGATCAGAAAAAGTTTGTTTTTCAATCTTATAATAGAGATCGTTTTGGGTGCACTCCCTTGCAGACTATGAGAGAGGGTATAATCTATTATCCCTTTACTTTCAACTTTATTTTCATCTTTATTTTTTTTAATTTATTTCTTTCTTTCCCATCTTTCCTGAATCACTATCTCACAACGAAGAAGAAAATGAACAAGAAATCATGGAAGCCAATGAACTTCCTATGCCAAGAGGGATGAAAAGATGAATTAGAGATATATCTGAGAGAACTAAAACACTGGTCAAACCAAAATATAAAAATATTTGACTGCAGAAGAAACAGCAGAAAAGTGGGAACTGGCCTTACAAAAGCAACACCACAATCTTCGTCCAAAAGGATTCCCCAACCCCCACCCACACACCCCCAAAAACACATATGCACCCCAAAAGCACGTGCTAAATTTTTAACCCAAGAAACAAAAAGAACTATCAGAAAGTAGAATAAATAGACAACTTCGACTAGAAATATATCAAGTTTAAAAGGACAAAAAGATGACCAAACTTTGACAAGGACAGGAAATATATACGGAATTTATCAGGTCCATGTTCATGATTAAACAGTTGGGTCTCCAAGATAGAACAATAGATCATACTCTCTAATTGCAAGAACTGAAGGGCTGAAAATTTGAAGACTACAAGAAAGATCACAAAATTAAGAGTGATTGATGTAACATTGTTTGGGAACCCGAAGGAGAAAAACTAATTATACAAAATTCATAATACCTGCGCTCGCTTCTCCATTTCCATCTCAAGATTGTGACGCAACTCTCTTGTCTTTGCACGCTCGTGCTCCAACAACCGCTGCCTCTCAACTTCATGCTCTGCCTCTGCTGTTCTTTCCCTGAAGTACAGGATAATAAGAAGACCTATGAAACTGATCGACTCAGTTGTGATTTTGTTGAGACTCTTTTAAGTTCAGTTTTTTATGTTTTCCGTGAGAGTATGTATAACTCTTTTCTCTCAATGCATATATGTTATGTTAATTGGAAAAAAAAACAAGCAAATCGAGATTATAATTAATGGGATTGTATACTGAGATCATTTATCTTCGTTACAAGTTGGTCACAATTGCTACTGGCCATTAGATAGTCAATTTGGATGGCTTGGGGTTTTTTTGAACTTTGAGTCTAGTTCAAAAGTTCAAGTTTGAACAAGATTCTTTTTAAGTTCTCAGTTGTTTTGAACTTTTCGAGCCTTGTCAATGACATACTCATAACAATCAATTTGAAATCTGACGGATAAGAATGATTGCGACCTTCTTGTATTAAAAGTATACGGTCTCTTTGTATACTTTTCCTATTATTATTCCATGAAAATTATCCGAAAATTGTACCATAAGGAACCAAAGGAGCATTAGGGCCAGACCTATCGAGTTCTTGGAGAAGCTTTATTTCCCGCAAAGCTACCTCTTCCAGGAACTTTTGCCTGGCACGCCTTGTTAGGAATTTCTTCTGTCTGCGAGCAGCTATTTCTTCTCTGAGCTTGGTCTTCTCTCTAAAAAAAGAAAACAAAGCAAGCAAGCGTTCAAATGGACACCAACCCAAAATAATTTGAATGGAAATGGATCATTATAAATTAGTGTTTTGAAAACTGCCCGTTTGAACTAGAACCAGGGGCTTACCAGGACGCGTCTCGCCAAGACTAGACCGAGTCGACCTGGTAAGCCTCTTGCAAGGTCAATTTCAGCTTTTACAACTTCATAGCTGTAAAAAAATGAGCATTTTCACTGGAATAATTGAGGTTTGCTGAAGAGATTGAATATCGAAAATTTCAGGATTTTCTACATTGAGCCTCAAATTCTTGATCCCTTTTTTTAATTTTTGAGATTTCCAATCAAGAAATACTTCGGGGAATTTGATAAGAAAGGGCTGAGGATTGATAGCCAGGAACCCAATTTTTTTCAACAATATTTATATTTATTTTGATTTTTTTTGCTCAGTTTGGGGTTTTCTTGAAAAGTCCAAGAAAATCTGATATTTTTTGTATACAGTATGTCAATTTATTTTTGTTTTTTCTTGTTGTAGGTTGTGTTCGGAAGGGATTATCTAATACACTGTAATCTGATTTCCAGTTTATAACATTCAAACATTAATTTCCATCATATAATCCAATTTCGAGTCCAAATTTTAAGATAATCTTAATATATTTTAGATAAGTTTTTATTGAAAACCAGAGATTTTCTGCATAATTAAACTATTTAAATCTAGTTAGATAATTCAACATATTAGATATATGTTAAAGCTTAAACATCACATTACGTTTAATTAGATATAATGTTTAATTACCAATTGTATCAAACTTTAATATATCTAGTCAAAGTTTTAACTCTAAACAAATATATTCTAAATTTCTAAATAAGTAATATATATTCTTAATAGGTGTGATTTGCATGAGGCTGCAACCTTAAACAATCAAATTAAGGTTCACCCCAAACTTTGTCATGAGATGCAACTTTGGTGTCAAAAACTCATGGGACAGTGCGAGAATCTATTTTTATCCCAAATTATAAATTGCAAACTCCAAAAATGGTTCAAATCAAGCAGATCTACAAACTAATGGAAATCTTGAAAATGGATCGTCCAGATAATGTGTTGCAAGATGTAGTATTTTTAGGACTTGAGATCTTTCCATATCTATACATCTGGATGTCGAGATGATCAATTAGATATTTTTCCAATGTCAAAACAAGTGTTTTTGAAGGATTTAGGGGTGCCCCTTAATTCTACATTTTAAGATGTCAACCTTATATAAACGTTTTCCTTTTTAATATGAAATTATATATTTTTTACTATTCATCATCCAAGCTTATCCCACCAATTATTTGGGGTCGGCAAGTATATATGTTTAACCAGGTACCTAAAATTCTAAATATGTGTTTCAAATTTAAAATAATATATAATTATCTGATATATCAGATTCTAGATTAAACATATAATATTAATCATTCCTATGAATGTCAACCTTGAGATTCACTGCATTTTAAGCTGCGCAATGACACTCGGACATGAACTAGACTCTCAACATTCACACTTTCTGATAATTTCATCAAAATATGTAACCTATTTGTCAAACATTTTTCACAAATCAACCACTGTTTCAAAAAGCGGACCGCCCAACGTCGGGCGGCCTCCTAGGCGGATATCCCTGGGCGCCCGCCTGAACCCACCTCGGTGGCTGCCCAGGGCCTGCGCCCCACCCAAGGGTGGAAATGCGGCTCCTTGAAGGTATTTTTGAGTCATTATTTTAATATTCAAGGGGCAAAATTGTGGATTTTAGGTTCATTTGAAACCTAAAACCCATTAGAGGCTATTTTCGAGAGAAAACCCAAATATATATATATTCCACTGGACCGCCCAGGTTCTGGGCGCCCGCCTAGGCGTTGGGCGGCCTAGACCACCCCCCCGACCGCCTAGGTGCCACCTAGTGCTTTTTGAAATACCGCAATCAGCTGATTTTGATTTTTAAATTTTTTTTAATATTTTTTCAAAAATTTTTTGCCAGCTTGGAGTGGCCAATCGAGTCAAACCGATCAAAGTCAGCCAGTTTGTCTGGTCAATTGGGAACCAGTGGGCGACCACTTCCGCTTCCCAATCCAACTTTTTAAACACTGTTATAAATGAAAGAATATAATGGCAACAATTGGCACAAAAAATTACATAAATACCAATCAACATGGCACACGACATTTGGTTCCGATGCATGCTATAGCCACCCATAACTTGAAAGCAATGAAGTTTCGTTTTTTTAATAGTAAGCAATAAGTGGTTGATAATGCAAGTTTAATGCGATTGTGTATTTTAGTTGCTATACGCAATTCCTCATTTTAGCTTGATAATTTGCGAAAACTGAAAGCATGGATTTTATATTGGTTAGACACGATTTTGTTTCATGAATCAAATGACCAACATGCATATGCATTAAACTTAAATTGGTTTAAAACATTCAACAAATTTGTTTAACCAGAAAGCAACAAGTACATTTGAGTATCACTAGAACTTTGTTATCCTTAAAATACTTACAAAGCATAAATCTCAGCCTTCACTTGTTGCAAACGTTGGGTGACATCTTTCGAGTATGGTGCTGAAAGAAAATCAGCAAAACACATAAACACATAACTTAATTAAACATCAAGTAGATATTCATAAAAGTGGTCAATACAAATCCATATGGGATTCTTACTAAATGATGGATTTAGAAAGAGAAAATCCCCAATTACCTCTTGCACATACAAGGGGAGGAAGGAATATGTGTGTGTGAAAAGGACTTGGGTCTGCCCTAGGGTGGACTGGTACAGCGTCCACCCTAGTTGAAAACCCATGCTAGGAGGGTCCTTTGGACTCCAAATTTTTGGGACATGTCCTACTTAAACAATCTCCATGTGAGTGATGTCACCTCCCATGCGGATGTTATCACACCCCTCCTAATGACCAAAAATACCTTTACTAAACAATGCTCCATGTACAAACAAGGATATCTAAGTGTCCAAAATTTGTTGAGTACAATTATAAAAATCTCTATAGTGTGAGCACCCTAATATAACCCTATATTTTATATATATATTATATATATATATATGGGAGTGGATTCTATCAGAGCTAACTGCTACGGTGTCAACCAATGGCCCAGATTCAATCTGGGCTGATCTGACGATTACAATCTCATTTCGTATTTTAATTTTAATTTTTTTCCACAAATCCAAATAACTTGAAATTTTAAGCTTTCATTCTTCTCAGTAAGGCACTCCTAATAAAACTATAAAAAAAAATAAGTCGCAAAACATAAATTGATCAAAATACCCCCAAAATGTTTTGGGGGTATTTTGGTCAATTTATATTTTGTGAATTATGTTTTTTATATTTTTATTAGATTCTTCTATTTTTTAAAAATAGATGCTCCAAATTTCAAGTGATTTGGATATGTAGAAACAAAATAAAAATATACATATATAAATAGAAAAATGCTAAGATTAGACCATTAGCTCATATGAACATATGAGCTCAGCGGCCCAGATTGAATCTGGGCCGTTTTGACGGTCACGACCTCATTTTGTGTTTTAATTTTAATTTTTTTTTCTATGAATCCAAATAACTTGAAATTTTAGGCATCCATTCTTCTCATCAAGGCGCATCTAATAAAAAAATTTTAAATTAATTGGCAAAAATTAAATTGATCAAAATACTTCCGAAAAGTTTCGGAGGTATTTTGATCAATTTTTTTATTGTAAATTATTTTTTTGATATTTTTATTAGATTCTCCTATTTTTGAATAATACATGCCTAAAATTTCAAATTATTTGGATTCGTAGAAAAAATTTAAAATTCAAACACGAAATGAGGTCGTGACGGTCAAATCACCCAAAATTACGACCTCATTTTGTATTTTAATTTTAACTTTTTTCTATAAATCCAAATCACTAGAAATTTTAGACGTCTATTCTTCTCATCAAAGCACACCTAATAAAAATATTAAAAAATTAATTCATAAAATATAAATTGACCAAAATATCACTATAAAGTTTTGAGGGTATTTTGGTCAATTTATGTTTTACAAATTATATTTTTGATATTTTTATTAGATTCTCCTATTTTTAAATAACACATACCCAAAATTTTGGATTTATAGAAAAAAATTAAAATTCAAATACGAAATGCAATCGTGATCAATGGATCGTCCCAGATTGAATATGGTCCGTTGGGCTTATATACAGTTGTGAGCTAGTGGGCCTATGCCAGCATTTCCTTTTATATATATATATATATATATATATATATATATAGTAGGTGTC